AGTCTGAAAAGGTTTTTAAGCAACTTTAACGTTGTGGCTATTCAAAATTCTCTTAATGGGTTCAGTAACACCCTGTATGTAAGGAGTAACAGCAAAACCAGTCGCTGGTTCCCTTTCAACAAGAGCGTTACTATTTGTAACTGGTTTTTGGTAGTTACGGAGAAAAGTTTTTGTATAGCCATTTGCCTTTAGGACATTGGAAACATATTTCCTCTCCTCAGCCTTCGAATCGAGTGAAGATGGTAGACAGTCAGCCCTCCTAAGTAAAGTTTTGGCTACAGACTTTTTATGGCAAATAGGGTGGTGAGAATCTTGTCTCTAAATTACCCTGAACCCCTCTGGACACATTTAAATCAAGAAAGGGCAAATGTCTATCCTTTTCACGCTTAAGGGTGAATTGGATCGACGGCTCTACTGAATTCAAATGCGACAAGAGGCGCTCCGCTTTATTTCCGGATACCGCAGAAATAACATTATCGACATACCGTTTCCAGAAAAAGGGTTTAACCGGTGAAGTGGCTATATAATTGTAGATGTAAAGGTTATGAAATACATTTCGAGAGCCGTGTTGATCTTTGTCTACGTCTTCAGTCCACACAGTCCATACATTTTTGTATTTCAGCGAAGTGCTCGATAAACAAAAGTGACATTTTTTTTCTATGTTTTCCCATATTCTCAACTAGAAATCCCAGGGAGCGAGAAAAGTAGCAGGGACGGTAAGAGTAAGATATACCTTTTTTCTGATAACACTGAATTTAGCTTCAGTTTTCTAAGAGTGGAAAATATGTGAATCAAGTATCGTCACAACCACTTCGTAATTTAGCACCCCAAAGTTATCAGTTATACCGAACTTTCAGCCGGCAAAATTGGTCAAAAGCTGCCATGTTGGGCACTGTTTAATGGTATGGTAGGTTTGTGGGAGATCAATAATGAATTACTCATTTCTTGGTGTACTAACGTCCCATCATGTTTTATTGATGGTTTGGAAAAATAGTGATATAAAGATGCAAAGAACAAAATGAATAACTTTTAAGCTATATCCTTGCCCTCATGTGTGAATTTATAGGTTTACTTTGAAATTTGATAGGATTTTATCCATTTTCCTTACGAAAATTGTGAGAGGTGATATTTCTCATTTCTGGTTCGTTTGGATCGCCACAAGTACCAGTGTCTGTTTGTGCAAGTTGATGTTACAGCGTGATTGTATCAGGAACTCCTAGAACCTCAATCATGTACTTAATACCTTCGTATTTTATTGAAATACTCATGATTATATTACCTAACTTTTATTTACAAACAAAGCCTGCTTAATGTACAGTCCAGGAAACTTTACGTTTCTTGAGCCCAAGATTACATTCCGAGAACCTAAGGACAATGGAAGTTTTCTGGGAAATGTATCATGGAAACCTCTGTCAAGTATGTAGAGTAACAAAAGTATGGCAACTATCAACCCAAAATATTACTTAATTTTATTTCTCTTGCATTTTTTTGGCACATTCTTGATTTATATTAAAAAATTTTTGCTGTGATCATGTATACATTATAAAGTTACACGAGGAGTGGAAAGCACGTCACCTAAACTCATAAGCAATCCATACAGTAGAGAGAGCCAACCGCACATACGTTAAGGAAAGGATATGAACAATTTTTTTTAAATTTGAAGCAGTAGTACTAGTAGTGACAGTAATAAATTGATGAACTTTAGGCCCTCAGAATAAATGGGAGTCGAAATCGAAAAATTATAATAGTTACTATAATAATGATAATGATTATACTAATAATAGTGGAATAGTAAAGTGTTTGTTTGTTTGTTTGTTTTTTTTAGGCGACGCTTTTAATTGGACTGGATACAGATTGATTTACGTCGTTGGTCGGGTATCTCAAGAGAAATATAAATGCGTGGACTTCTATAAGGTGAGAGCTGCTAAAAACCGGAAAACTTTACAATAGGCTTTGATCTCCCCTCCTTTTTATATTCTCAACAGGTATTAATTTGTTCAATCTCAGTCACTTTACCATAAATTAACCCCCTTAACAGTACTCCCAGATCAACGTTTTTCCAAGGTGTCTTTTGGCAACCGAAAATTATTTAATGGTTACCAGAAATAACAACATCAGAAAACAAACACGGGTCGCCAGTTTTGCGACTTCCTCTGAAATTTAATCGCCCATTTTTTCATTTAACCTACCATAGTTTCCAGTACGGTCGCAGCTCGGAGCGCTGGCTTTAAGTGCCGTCAGTAGATATGATTTACAATCTCATCTCTCCTCATTCTTTAAACTCTCCGGCTCTAGACACTAAGTTTAAATTAATGCTACATTTTTACCGTATAGAAATCGATTAACTGTATATATATTTTTATTTCAGAACGAGACGAGTTATTTTATAAACAGTGGTCTACCGAATAACACGCGCTTACGACTCATGGCAAGTGTATCCAAATCCATGATCTTTGTTTGATCTTTGGCGAAGGGAGGGGGAATTACGACAACACTATTGAATTACCTCGAAAAACCTTGAGGCACAAAAACTGATATTTAAACCTGTTAAAGTGTGAACGGGGAGCCTCCTTACGCATAATCCTTGATACAGTTTTGTATCAAGGATACAATGCATGCCCTGAACACAAAAACGTATTCATGGCGCACTACATGCGTGATATTCCTTAAATAAGACCAGGCCTCCTAAATTTTACCCATGTATCAATGTAATCTTACTTTAGGAAAAGCACTAACGGGAATGATATCGCAAGAAAAAAAAACTGGAAATATAGATGGTGGTCAGCTGATCAAAGAATCTCTTGGAACTCTGAATACCCTAAACCTGTCTTAAGGCATAAAGTGCTGTCACGGTTCTTTTTTCTGCGTATTTATTAACATCACCACGTAGAAGTGATGAGACGTGCTTTGAAGTAACGTGAAATTTGCAGTACACGCACGGTTTCATTGGTGACTCCTTTACGTTGAGGGCAATGTTAGAAGTTATAACCGATGTAAAAAATACAAGTTCTTCAAAAATAACTGCTTAAATTATTACACAAAATGTTTTTTTTTTGTTTTCGTTTTGAGTTGTTTTTTTTCTTTTGGTAGGTTGTCTCCATACCCTTTGACTCCAGTAAGTTCGAGAAACTAGATATTGATTGTAAGTCTCTTTAAAAGTTTTAGGTGAATCTTAAAAAGCCATACTATACTTTGTATTGTGTTTATTATTTAGTTTGATAATTTCTGCCGTAAGCTTAAGACTGGGGGCTGCGGTGGCCAGTGTGTGATCATGATTTGATGCTAGTGAGCAGTCTCGGGTGAGTAGCTGAATTTAAGTCAGAACAAGCAATTCGAAGCTCTATATTTTCAATCACATTTTCCAAAATCGATTGTTTTAGCCAGAGGTCTATAAAGACCTTCACGAGCCGCGGGGCAAAAGAATTAGTGGCGGCTACATGAGTTTGTAAGTGGGGCTAAATTACCAGTGTTACCTCTTCCACTAATTTTTAAATACATAGGCTCGTTTCTTTTTCTCAATTTTGTTGAAAAGTTTGTACAATTCAAACTGAGTTTGGATATTCACGTAGTCTTACTCCTAAATTCAATAGCGTGCCACGCCATACGTGGCGTCAATATCACCTTTACTTTCCTCTTGCGGATGTAAAATTAGGTGTGAACGGTTCTTCGTAATGCGGAAAAATGTCCTTATAAATGTGGGCAAGTGAAAACAGCTTGGCAGGTCCTTAACGGGATTGAGGCCTTAAACGAATCACTTGTTTTAGTCATCCTCTCAGCATAACAAACACTACTGTGATTGAACATTCAAAAATTGATTCATGTATTTTGCGTAAATGAAGGTAACTATGGTGCTATAGTGCTGTTATTAGTACAGTCGCAGTCCTCGCTAAAAGCACGTTTCGCCAACCATGCATTTGCCAACCGAATTAAAATCTCACGTCATTCTGAATTTCTCAATTTTTTAACTAAAGTAGAATGAGACATTTGCTATAAAATGTGTCTAACCTCAATGCTAGATAATAAGGTGTAACCACCGACTGTGCCCCTTGGGAAGCCCGAGAGTTTCTCATCTCGTAAGATTTTTTTTCTGTTCTTCGTTTTTTTTTTTTTCTTGTGCAGGCCATATTCCATGCGGTGAAAAGCCAACAACAAGTGGCACATCAATCCCTAAAACAAGTAAAGGAAATTTAATTCTCTTTCTCACTGGACGTTCCCTAGTTGATCTTTTCCATAAATAGAAGGCCTCATTGTTCTTTCCCATACATGCAAACTAGCCCTCTTGGTCTCGGTAATATGTCAAAGGTAGCAAACAAACAAATTGAAAGAAAAATAACTTTTAGTCATAAGCGAGGCTAAGAAGGGTTATTCAAATGAACATGACAGAATGATAGCAGGTAATTTAGTTTTAACAACTGAGTTGAAAACGTAAATTGGCCACCGTGAAGAGTAAAAAAGCTAACGTTTCGAGCGTTAGCCCTTCGTCAGATCGATTGGAGGAATTGTGGGTTGTGTGTGGGTTTATATGCAGAAAGTGGAGCTACGCTATTGGTGGGAGTATGGTGACGAGAAAACAAGAATAAATTAGTTGAATGAAAAGCGCTCGTTGATACCGTGGGGATTGAGAGTGCCGATTTGGAAGATAAATTTTTGTTCTAGTGTTTTGCGGCTTTCCGAACTGCTCAGATGTAAGGGAAGGCTGCGAACTGCCATATGTTGTTTTGAATGATTAGGGAGATTAAAGTGTCTAGCGACTGGTTTGGATGCGTCCTTGTCATTTCTTTCCACGTCGCTAAGATGTTCTCGGAATCGGTCACCTAGTCGTCTTCCTGTTTCGCCAATGTATAACTTATTGCAATAAGTACAAGTTACGCAGTACATGACATTGGCAGGGGTGGACGTAAAGTGATCAGTAATCATAATGGGTCTCTTGGGTCCCGATTTTTTTTCTACGTTATGAATGAAAGAACAAGTTTTGCATCGTGGCTATCCTGTTTCTGTCGTTCAAGCGGGCCACCACCATGCCCAACAAATTGATCGACAATCAGCACTACAAACGGCTGAGAAGGAAAACACTGACCGCATTCCATTCACTCTCATATTTCACCCTCACAACCACGCGGTTCAATCTATCATTCTTAATAAACTTTAAATTACTCTATAACGATTCAGAGACTGGTACTATCTTTTCGCAACCCACCTATTTAATTCAAACGTGACAAAAACATCAGAAGTTCATTTCAAACCAATGACCAATCTGGAACTTTCAAATGCGCTTGCTCAACTACCCTTTAGGCCACATCTCACTTGCAAAAGTTTTTCAACCCTTCTAACAGATCAATAGTCTTTTTTAGCGTGTAATATGAGGAAAGTATGATAAGGATAGCTCCTGGACTGATAAGAAAAAAATAGCTTCTAACACAGTGTCGTCTTTTATTTTCCCTCCTATTTTCATGTAGCTCACCCCACGAGTCCAACATCAGGTGGGTTTAACTTTTCCTTCTCATTGTTCCAAAGATGGTCATATCCTTATCTAGCTTCTAAATACGAGCCTAAGTTTAGAGTACACATCTTGTCAATAACTATTAAGTTAATAACTCTCAAGTTACGTCACAACTTACTCTCAAGCAAGTACTGGTACGAAGTCTGGCGGTTTATTCAAAGAAAAAATGTAAACAGTCAATCTCCTTGGGTTTAATCGGTGAAGTGTCCATATAATTGTAGATGTAAAGGTGATTGAATACATTTCGAGAGCCGTGTTGATCTGTGTCTACGTCTTCAGTCCACACAGTCCATACATTTTTGTATTTCAGCGAAGTGCTCTATAAACAAAAGTGACATTTTTTTCTATGTTTTCCCATATTCTCAACTAGAAATCCCAGGGAGCGGGAAAAGTAGCAAGGACGGTAAGAGTAAGATATACCTTTTTTCTGATAACACTGAATTTAGCTTCAGTTTTCTATTAGTGGAAAATATGTGAATCAAGTATCGTCACAACCACTTCTTAATTTAGCACCCCAAACTTTCAAAGATCAGTTATACCGAACTTTTAGCCGGCAAAATTGGTCAAAAACTGCCATGTTGGGCACTGTTTAATGGTTTGGTAGGTTTGTGGGAGATCAATAATGAATTAGTCATTTCTTGGTGTAATAACGTTCCATCATGTTTTATTGATGGTTTGGAAAAATAGTAATATAAAGATGCAAAGAACAAAATGAATAACTTTTAAGCTATATCATTGCCCTCGTGTGTGAATTTATAGGTTTACTTTGAAATTTGATAGGATTTTATCCATTTTCCTTACGAAAATTGTGAGAGGTGATATTTCTCATTTCTGGTTCGTTTGGATCGCCACAAGTACCAGTGTCTGTTTGTGCAAGTTGATGTTACAGTTGTGATCATAATGGATCTCTTGGGTCCCGATTTTTTTTCTACGTTATGAATGAAAGAACAAGTTTTGCATCGTGGCTATCCTGTTTCTGTCGTTCAAGCGGGCCACCACCATGCCCAACAAATTGATCGACAATCAGCACTACAAACGGCTGAGAAGGAAAACACTGACCGCATTCCATTCACTCTCATATTTCACCCTCACAACCACGCGGTTCAATCTATCATTCTTATTAAACTTTAAATTACTCTATAACGATTCAGAGACTGGTACTATCTTTTCACAACCCACCTATTTAATTCAAACGTGACAAAAACATCAGAAGTTCATTTCAAACCAATGACCAATCTGGAACTTTCAAATGCGCTTGCTCAACTACCCTTTAGGCCACATCTCACTTGCAAAAGTTTTTCAACCCTTCTAACAGATCAATAGTCTTTTTTAGCGTGTAATATGAGGAAAGTATGATAAGGATAGCTCCTGGACTGATAAGAAAAAAATAGCTTCTAACACAGTGTCGTCTTTTATTTTCCCTCCTATTTTCATGTAGCTCACCCCACGAGTCCAACATCAGGTGGGTTTAACTTTTCCTTCTCATTGTTCCAAAGATGGTCATATCCTTATCTAGCTTCTAAATACGACCAGCATAAATTTAGAGTACACATCTTGTCAATAACTATTAAGTTAATAACTCTCAAGTTACGTTACAACTTACTCTCAAGCAAGTACTGGTACGAAGTCTGGCGGTTTATTCAAAGAAAGAATGTAAACAGTCAATCTCCTTGCCCTGTAATGCAGGGCTTTTAAGAATGTTGTTAAATTCATTTCTCTTGATTTTGCTTGTGCTGTATGTTTTATATTTTGGTTTTTGTTTATGTTTGCAGGGAATGTGCCAGTTAATCTATTTTTTTAAAATCTCTTTCAGAAAGTAGGAGACCTACTATTATTGTCCTTGCCATTATCCCTGTCACTGTAATTATTTGTGCTGTGTCTGCTCTGCTAATTTTCTGCTATCGACTACAAAAGAAGGCGTCCCCGGGACAATTGGGCTCTTATAAAGGTTGGTGTTCTCACCAGGAATACTGTCTTTTAATAAGCACATTTTTGGAGTCGCAAAAATGTGCACGGAACACTTATACGAAGGTAATTAGTAAACGCAGTTGGAAAACTTTGAACGGATTTCCGCTTTTTAGTTTACCTTATGTGCAACACGAAATTAAAGCAATCTATTCCATTTGAGCGGTCTATTTTCGCGTCCGCATTGGTCTGTGGAATTGGAATACTAAACTGTGTAACCTAAAAGACATTTTAGAAAGAAGGTTTCCAGGTTCAAGTCGTTAAAAGATATGGACGTTCACCTTCCGCTAGTAGATAAGACGTTACATTTTAAAGGACCGCCCTCCATCACAACCAGTTCGAAGCTGCTAAATGTACAAACCTGACAGAATAAACCTATTCATTTTATACAAACTCAGCGATCTTAATAACTCAGTTCAGAGCTTTTGGTTCGTATTAACATCAGGAGCAATCATACTATTGTCAACAGGCATTTTTCACTTCCTACTGGGTCAAAAAAACAAAACGAAATGTCTTTTTGTCTGTAACACATACTTGCTTGTTTAATTTTCAGATATGCAATTTGAATACGACGCGTTTGTCATATATAGCTCCCAAGATTCAGAGTGGGTGGTTAAAACTCTTATTCCAACTCTTGAGGAAAAGCATGGGCTAAAATGTTGTGTGCATTATAGAGATTTCCCTCTTGGAATTCCTTTTCGTCAAAACATGGTTGACAGCGTTTATAAGAGTAAGAAGACAGTGGCCGTTGTATCCACTCACTTTTTCAATAGTAATTACTGTGGGTCAGAACTGGATTACGCTCTTCACCGACTTATGGAAAAGAAAGATGATAGCTTGGTTGTTGTCAAACTTGATGAAGTCAACAGGAAGAAACTTCCCAGAGAACTCCAAAAAAGGAGTTATATAGACTTTTCAAAGTCCACTGATAAAGAAACCTGGGAGAGAAAACTAGTTAAATGCTTGAGGTCCACCAACCCTCGACCTGAATAATTTGAATGAAGTTCGGAAGCTAATATCACCAAAGGAATTCCTAGTGATATGCTGTTTAAAAACACGCAGTTATTTGTAAGGAATCTTCATCGATGGGATGATCTCTATGTGTTATTTGTTCGGAGTTCGTCTGTCGTATGCATAGAAAGGAGGTTCTTGGAAGTGTGGTATAGTAGAACTACCTTAGTCACTGTATCTAGAGTAAGTACTAAAACTTTAGGGTCTGTTAGCAGTCAACATGTTTTTAAAATAAAGAGGTGAACAATTTTGGTTATTTGTTTGTTTTTGACATAAAACGGTAGTTCTAAAGTGAACTCTTCATTGGTGAAAAAAGAGGAAAAACGAATGCATTGTTTCATTTCGAAACAATTTTTGTGGACGGCCTCATGGAATCGTACTGAATCTACAATTGAATTGTGCGTAACCGAAAAACTCATAGTTATTAATTAATATAAATTATATTAGTGCTTCTTTCCGTAGGCGGACGGGTTGATTTTCCACTTGTCCAAAATATTCATTTCATGCAATTCCGGGCGGAAAGGAAGATTTTCATATGTCTACGTCATACTGTATCTTTTAAGCGACATCAGTTGCGGCAGAGAGAATTCGTTTTTGACAATAGGGTCAGCACGATTCTCGAAATTTCTCTTTCAATTTGTTATTGGCACTGAATTGCCATCATTTGCAGTTTTGGCACATGTACTTGTATACCTGATGTGTCTGATCTCGTTTGGGGCCGCTAGATATTTTCGGAGCAGCCCATTTTACCTTTGTAAATTCCAGCCATTTTGTCTTTTCGAATGCGAGAACGGATTGCATAATTTTTTGTTATGTACAAGAACTTCTTGAAGAAGTTAATAATAATGTGTCTGTTTAACTGGGCAGCCATCGATGATGATCAAAATGAGAAAATTGATGTTTTGATTCCTGTCATAAAGTCAACACTTTTTCTCAATATTAGCAAACATTTCCTATTGACCTGTTCGGTGCCATGATTAATAACTCGTGAATTGCGCGCGTGCGCAAGAGCGAGTGGTAGATATGATGTGGAGAATGGCACTCGCTCGCTCGCTCGCTCGCTCGACTGGTCGATTCCTGGAAACTTCTTTTCGATTTTAGGCTTTTAAGTGCATTTGATAGTTTTTGGCAGGTAATACACAAACGAAATGGCGACCTTTGTTGCTAGGAATAGTGGTGGGGTGAAAAAAAAAAAAAAAGGAAAAAGAAGCCAATGATAATCTTGAAAGAGTTTATTTATTTTTCGTTTTAGTTTCAACAAGCGGCGCCAGCGAAGATTCGTTAGAAATATCACTTACTCCGAAGCGCTCGGAGTTTACAGGTGTTCAAAAGCGTTTTCTGTTACGGCGTGAGATTGGGGACAAAATCGATCATTACATTTCGTATCGTGTTTTTTCTGTGTGAAGCAACAAAGGGTGCGGTGGCCGACAACTGTCACGGCACTACAAACTTTACTCACGGCAAAACAAAATTAATGGGAAAACAAAGGAAACGACTTGGTCAGCGGTTGGTCAGCGGTTGTTATTTGCATCTGAAAGGGTTCGTGGTGTAACAATAAACAAACGAAATGGCGACCTTTGTCGCTATGAATAGCGGTGGGGTGAAAAAGAAGCCAATGATAATCTTAAAAGAGTTTATATTTATTCGTTTTAGTTTCAACAAGCGGCGCCAGCGACTGGCAGGCGTACGAGGATTCACAATAAAATTAGAGAACAACCTTCGTTTTTCATAAAATTGTAATTTACAATCCTTGAACTTGAAAACAAGCCGAAGATTCACTAAAATTATCACTTAATCCAAAGCGCTCAGAGTTTACAGGTGTTCAAAAGCTTTTTCTGTTATGACGTGAGATTGGGGAAAAAATCGATCACTACACTTCGTATCGTGTGTTTTCTTCTGTGTGAAGCAACAAAAGGTGCCGGCGATTGACGAAACTACAAGTTAACACGAAAATCACATAACACCTAAACAAATAATTTTGGCTACCGATTTTCAGTGAATTTTTAAAGAACAATTTTCTTTTAGGTTTTAAGACAATTTGAAGATTCAAAATAAATATTACGTACTAAAATGCGAAAGTTGTACACAAAATTGATAAATAGGCCTGAAATGAAATTCTATCTTGTTCTCGATTATACGTTGCCTAGCACGTGACCAAAATCTACCCAGGTGGAAATCCAAAATGACGGTGCCAGTCTGGACTTAGTTATATCACTCAAAACTCGTTTCCGTTTGTCTCATTTGATAAAGAGGGAATCATTAATGTTTTCATTAGACAGTAGTTTTCACTTTTCACCCACATTTACTTCCAACCTTTTCTTTTCAACCAGAAACAAAAATGATATATGTTTAAAACACATGACATCATCCACCCTTGTCAAATGTAATAGCATGATCATTTCGATTGCAATGCCTTCTTATCCTAATGTTACTTTGTTTCTTTGCTACATAAGCGAACACTGAACTACTGCTCGTACTCAAAATACGACAATCAACCACAAAATTCCCTAAACCAGATAACATTAAACATAATCCAAAAATCATGTAAATCATCTGTCAATTCACGAGTTTGCACACAGGGCTCGTGTTATCTCTGCCAAATTGAAATAGAGTTTGTGTAATTTTTCATGGCTTTCAGCTCACATTGGAGGAGGAAGTGTGTTTCTGACAACGCAGAATATGAAAGGCATAGTTAAGATGAAGAGAAAACACCTTACGGGCCTTCGGTGGAAACTGCCGTTTAATATTTCATCCAGAGCCATTCATTTTTTTCGTCTTTATTGAAATGTTCTCAATCGTAGTATGTTCATGGCAAACACATTGCGTGAGACTGAGGAGTTAAGCCGAGCGTTCTTCTTTAAAACTACCGGCTCACACATTCCACGCAATCCCTTTTCAAACCTCTAGAGGTCTTACACTTACACCTACCCCCAACATTACATATTGAACTTTTTTCTTCTAAGGTCGAGACGCAATTCATGATCGTTGTTAGCGATTTACAACTTGGTGGGCATGTGGGATCCCACTGTGGCAAGTCCAGAGGTTCAACGTGTTCCTCGGCATTCTTGGTCCCATCGGTGAACACGTAAGAAATGTAATCTTCATTCTTATCCCATGTTAAACGTTCTGGCTCAGCAGCTTTACCTCGCCCCAAATGTTGCGTACTGTGTGAGGTTGAAGTCGCGAGCAGTAATACAAGTATTACTTTGAAAGGAAAAAACTGTGAAAACATAAAGACATAATTACATGTAATAATGAAGAGAATACGAAGGAATTTGTTTGAAAATGAGGTTTCAAAGATCCATAGTGGTTGTCTTAACTGCGTCGGCGCTTGAAATCGATCTATCGTCGTTATCGCTTAGATTGAAACTGATGCAAAGACAACAGCTCGTCGCTCGCCTTTTGGTTGGTTAACGACAAAGCCCGCCAGAAGTAAGCGTTTCCGGTCGCCGTTCGCGTCTCAGAGACGTTTACAGATAATTAGCTTCCGTTAGTGCCTTGGTAGACGCAATCAATGAACGAAACAGAGCATTTGCTCTGATCATCCGAGCAATTGAGCCGAAACATTTTGTTTCTGATTAGGCTCAATGATTTAGATTAAAGAGTTACCCAATACTTAAAAAATTATTCGTCAATGTACCCTCTTCCTTCGGAAATTAACCGATTAATACCTTGCTGGTGGTTTTAAACATTTCCGCTTCTTGTCGATAACGATGTTCTTGAAAATATCGTCAGACTCCTTGATTACTCTCTTGGCTGGATCGATTATGTGAACTTTTATGTGAGCTACTCAATTTATATCTTTTTTGCAATAAAATTAAGGAGGAACAAACTGTTTACGGTAAATTGAATTTAAATTTAAATAAACAACACCAGCTCATATATGGGCAAACAAAGGTGCACAAATTCGAGTTACACAGGTGGAAAGGATGTGCAGCCCTAAAGTTTTAATGGGAATTTCTCGTTTGGTCTTGTGGGAGTAAAACCATGATGTCAACGGTATTTTAAGCTTTTAACATGTTAAAAGGGAAAAATAAAATAAACCTTCTCCATCTAAAGCAGTCGACTCCGATCTTGCCAAGATCCTCTAGAACGGCACAAAATTCTTTCTCATAGGAAAATTGCCTTTAAGTTTCGTTATCCGGGGTGGGTTGTGCTTTACGAGTTCATGAATAATCAACTTTAAGCATCATCGCCTACCTAAGTGTTTGAATACCGTTTTGACAGGTGATGTTACTATTGTCATTAAAATGCGCTCAAAAGTTATTTTTTCAAGACAGTGTGGCCGCTTTGTGTCCTAAGAACATTACACATTAATCGAGTATATATGTATGGGTTGTTCAAAGTGTCTTTGTCTGTTTGACACAGAGCTCGTCGTCAAACTAGTAGTTCGAAGGTAAACTCACGATCATGAATTTATGAAACTTTTATTTTAAATCCATTAATGACAATTATAGATCATGCTCTTGAAAAACAGAAGTTACCCGACATTGAACTCGCACTCCGCTCTCTTCAAGGCATCTGAATCTGCTCTCATGTCAACGCGGCGCGTCGTGAACCTTTTGAGGGTGCCATGTGCTGACAGCGTGTCTCGAACGTCTTCGCGTTTGATTATTGACGTTTTTATCAGTTGATTTTAGAGAGCTTAACATTCCTATGTGTAGGTGGCCGTGTATTCTGCATGTTTTGATGAAATTTATGATTTGGAATAAATTGTTAGTGCACATAGAAATGTTATGAAAATGAAAAGACTGAGACGTCGTAAAGAAAAATTGTTCTAAAGTTTTCGCAATCGAAACACATGGTTCTGGTACTACATGGCACTTGAAATAAGCTGCGAATATTTTCCTGCTTGGTGTGGTTACCTTCTTAAATACATTTTAGACGGTGAAACTGGTGACAGTTGATCACAAAAAAAAAAATTCATTTTGCATTTTGTTAACATTACCCGTCTTTTCCTAGCAAGTCACCAGCTGTTTTAAAACGAGAGAATTCGTTTATACAGCTCCATTATGATGATACCGGCCTTCAATTAATAAAGACTATCATAATCATAATAATAAAGACTATCGAATGATGTGGCATATTTCATAGTGGTTTTGGAAGGAAAAAATAGTGAGTTAAGAACTATTAGTAAATTGAGGAAAGATGCCTTTCCACAAAAAAAAGAAAGAAACTAAGCATGCGATGAAAAAGAGGGGCTCAGCTGTGTCAATCCTTTGCATGCATAATCTTCCTTCCGCGTTTGTCGAGCGTT